TATTAACAGTTTTTCACAGCCATCAGGCATTAAAAGCGCAAAACAGCTAAAATTGGAAACAAAAATCAAATGATTAAATGAGAATAAATACGGCTTTTTCTATTAAATTGTTAATGTTTTAAATTAATTTAGGTTTTTTCCAGGTTTTTACATTGGAGATTAGTCATTGTGCTATTTAAGTTCATTAAGAAGCTTATTAAACGCTAACATTCTTATCTAGATATACCCACTTCATAATTTTTCACTGTTTCAATATAAAAACACATTTTACTATGCACGATGTTTTGTTCTGTAGCATACGGTCTGGCAGGCCGAAGAATGTTGGTCATTTACTTACCACCTTTTTGCGTATTTGTCTCAGATAATAATATTTTCGACACTTTGAACTCGAATTAGTGCAGCAGATGTTACATGAACTTGTAGTCTGTAAAAAGGTTTCTCGATCAGAGTTGGAAATAAGGAAGCTTTGGCACTATTGAAAATGACTAAAAATCCAGCATGGCCTAAGTTTTTGGCTCACGTAAACTAAAAAAAAAAAAAGATTTATTTTTCATTCATATTCAAAAGATATTCATACTTTTTCATTATTCATTGTGTTAAGTAAATTACAAATCGCTAGGAACTGTTTGGACTCGATTGATTAGTTTTCCTAGACTCGGACAATGCCAAAGATACAAAAAAACTAATTTTCAAAGCTAATTTCGATTTGAATTTTTTTGCTAGAGATTCACGCGATTACAATATTAGACCGATAAAAACATATGAATTCCTCGATCTCAAAAAAAAGTCGAAAAGAATATTTGCTCTTGATATATTAATTTATTTGTTAGTCTTTATTTCATGTGGTATTCTGGTAAAAGCATGTGAATCTACTTACTACTATTAATTATGGATTAATACTAGCCAAAACAAAATAGCATTAAAAATTCAATTCATTAGAAGCTATTTAACTTTTAATTAGAAATTTCATGAATTCTGTTACCTAATGGTAATTTGTTGATCAATTTTATACTACATATGTAGAGGGAACGTTTTTCTGTAATCTATGAACAGGAAGGAGTTTAATTTATCAACTAATTTCCGCTCTTGTATCAAAACCTTTTTGTTAGGTATCTCTAAAGTAAATAAGGAGTTGAAAAATGTTTTACAGAATGGTTCTACATAAAAACATTTTCATGTCACATCCTTTTTCTTATTGCAAATGTATCGTTTTCCCGAAAAATCGATTTTTCAATTTTTTGAGTATTTTTGTATTTCAAAAAACACATTTTTCCTCACCTCCTTCTATTATTGAAATAATGGTAATTGAATACAAATCTGTAAAAATTTGCTTTGATTATTGTGCTCTCCTTACAAAGTGAAATTTTTCAACTTTGGGAAATATGATCAATTGAGCAAGACAGAATGAATCACACATTTTTTAGTCGAAATACCCAACGAAAATGTTTTGAAAACATGACTCCGCCTCAACCATATAGAACTTATCATTTCCTCTTTTTGCAACTTAAAAATTGGGGGGCAAGAGCATGTGCAGCGAATGTGTTCAATACTTTTGTGCTGTGAGAGGCAGGTTGATTTGTAAACTTTCGCTGAAAAAAGCTCAATATAATAAATATTTGTCCCCATATCTGGTTTCAGTTATTCAAACACGTACCGGTAGTTTCGTGTAACTACCACTGTTTATGATAAGCAATCAAAATAAACTCTCCTAATTTGTTTATTTACTGAAAGTGCCAACTAAATGAATCAACAGATGAATGGAACAACCATTTTTGTAAACAACAACAAGCAACAAAGAAAAGAGATATTGGTTTTTCGTGATTTCAATGCATCATTGTTTTTCAGTTGAGCGAGATCCCAACAAAAGACGGGTCAAACCTGTTGAACAAGCATGTGTTTTGGACTTCGATGAAGAAAGTAGTGATGACTCCGATTTTCGAATTGAAGATCATCCCGAAATTTCGGACGACGATGCCGATTCAATGGATAGTGGTGGAGGAGATAATGGTAATAAGAGTGAATCAGTGAATTTGGATGATCGCAACGTTAATTGTTACGGGTTTCACAATACAGACAACGAAAGCAGTGAGGATGAAACTGATGACTCCGAATTGGATAAATTGGACGAGTTAAGGAACCTGAACTCACCCAACGCCAATGGCTTCTCTTCGGTTGGAAATATTATCGAGGAAGCACGACTGCATTCCAAACTTAATGTAAGTCATGATTGTATTGTTGAACATGCCATATATAAAAACACCCATTTAAATAGTTCAATGAAAAAGACGCACAACTTCTCATATGTTGCGGATGTTTGGGTGATCACAGCGATGGCGTCAACGAAATTGTTGAATGTGATAGCTGTGGAGTTACAGTCCATGAGGCCTGTTATGGAATATCGGACTCAAATAGCTTAGCCAGGTTGGCCAAAAAGCACTGTGGTCGAATTAGCTGCTCATACATTGCTTGTTCTTTTTAGTACCAATTCACTGTCTCCGACGGCTCCTTGGTTCTGCGAAACGTGCAGAGCCGGAGTTATGGAACCAGTTTGTGAACTTTGCCCTAATTCAGGGGGAATTTTTAAGGAAACCGACGTCGGCAAATGGGTTCATCTTATTTGCGCTTTGTATGCTCCAGGTAAATTAAGATAGCAACTACCAAGATAATACAGTTTAAATGAATAATGAGATCAGCATATCGACATCCTAAATGACTTCATTTGACAGTCGCTTTCTAAGACATGCTTATTTTTGACCATAACTTTAGTGCCCTGTTTGAATATACATATGCTGTATGATGACTAACGCAGCAAGTTAAATAAATAATAATTTTCACATCGGACGGAAAAAGTCCATTCTGTAGTCGTTTAACCACAAAGAAAAAATTATAATACAGGGTGGTTGATATGAAGTCTCCCCTAACTTACCTAGCGTGTATCTCGTGGGCTGATTGTGCAAATTTGACTGATAGTTCATTATACTATTTAGATATGTGTAAAAGCATTATATTTTAAGTTGAATGGAAAAGAAGTTATGCGCGATGGAATTCATTTGTAACAGTGTAATTGCTCTTTATTTGGCTGCGAAGTCTCAGAAGGACATCGTTAATCATTTCAACCATCTTCAAATGAGTAGAAAGTTTATATTTCGGACGTTTATAACTCAATAGAATTGTACTGAAAGCATTGCAAAACTCTATGAGGCGGTCCGAAAGGACTGCAACAACATCAGAAAACATTCGAAAAGTGAAGGCACGAATAACAAAATCCCCGTCGGAGTGATAGTGAAGCCTTAGAGCCTTTTCACATGGGCCACTCTGCAGTGCTTCTCAGTGCCGCTGCTAAGAAGTGCGTTTTGAAGGTACATTAATTTACATGAAGCTATTCACACAAGCGCGATCAAAGCCGTACCACCGATTTAGCAGCGCTTATGTGGCGTTCAGTAGTTGACTACCGCCGAGAAACGCATCAGAAAGCGCCACTGATAGCGATACATTGGTTCAAATGCTGGCGTTCACACGAGCCACTTCAATCTGATTCAGGTTAACGTGCGCTTATCAGCAGCGCCATTAAGAATCGCTGCAGAGTGGATCGTGTGAAAAGGCTTTAACATTGTACTAGCCAGTCTGCAGCGCTTCTCGGTGGCACTGCTGAGAACCTTACGTTACTTGAAGCAGACTAAAGTGGCTTGTGTGCACGCCAACATTTGAACTAATGCATCGCTATCAGTGGCGCTTCTTGGCGGTAGTCAACCACTGAACGCCACAGAAGCACTGCTAAATTGGTGGTCCAGCATTGGGCGCGCCCGTGCTCCACGTAAACCAATGTACCTTCAAAACGCGCTTCTCAGCAGCGCTGCAGAGTGGCCCGTGTGAAATGGCTGAATGGCTCGTAAGGTACGGTTTCGGTAGTGCCATCGGCGATTGCGACTCGGTGCTGCGTTTGGACGCAATCGCAGCGTGGTTTGGGTGATACGTTTACAGCCGCAAGAGATCAATTCGGGAGGTACATTTGAAGAAAAATTGTTGAAAAGATGGATGATTTCGAACTTTTAACCCTTATTTTGTGAGAAGATGAGGAACATAAGAACAATTTCTTAGAAAAAATCTTAACACAATTTACCTACCATTTTTTCCTTTTTCCTATTGATGGTGCTATTGTTCTCCATCCATTTTCTTGTACTGCAAAATTTTTATAATTTGTCTTCGTAATCATAATCGATCGATATTTTCGGACTTGACGTTGGGGAGCGAAACCGGTTCGGTGCAAAATGAGGAGTAGCAAAATTACCATGTTTACTTGGGAGAGATCAAGCGAAAACTTACACCCTTGAACCGTCACCAGAAAGCAAACACCATCCACCGTTATTGATGGTATGAGCCGCAGTGACTGCTGATGGAGGGTTCTCTGCTCGTGTTTTCGGATCGTGGAGTCAAAGATAAAGCGACAATCTATCGTTAAAACGTTTTACAAGGTGTATTGAAGCCCTGGGCAATTAAACATTTCGGTCGGAAACCTTGGACATTCCAGCAATACTCAGCAATCGTGTAAAAGCATTGTTCCGAACTTAATTTCTTTGACACAATGAATGACAAATTCTCCTGATGCGAACCCGATTGATTTCTCTTTCTGGAATATTTAGAAATCAAAGGTTTATTCAAAAAAATAAGAACGTTTTGAGGCTCTCAAGGAAACACTTCAGCGAGGATGCCAGCGTATACCACAAACTCACTTGCGTGCAGCGTGAGATGCGTTCTTCAACTCTCTCAAAGATATTGCCAACGCAAAAAGCTATCAAATTGAAGAAATTTAAATGCATTATTACGTTGATTATTTGCAAGCATTTTTCATTTGAAGTAAATAAAATGATAAAGAAGCTTATAGATAAAAATAGAGGCTGTTAATCATGGGAGACTTCGTATCAGTCAGGCTGTACGTCTAGTCGTCGGACAAACTTGAAATTAAAGGTGATACCAAACGAAGAAATTCATAGTCCAATTAATTAAAGCGCTCACTCAAATTTAGTTAAATATTCAACAGTTTGTAATTTGCTTATTGCAGGTGTTGCATTTGGAGAAGTGGATAAACTTACAAGCGTTACACTGTTTGAAATGCCATATAGTAAATGGGGCGCGAAAACTTGCAGTCTATGTACTGATGATCGATTTGCCCGAACAGGCGTCTGTATCGGATGCGACGCTGGAATGTGTAGAACCTATTTTCATGTAACTTGGTAAGGCTGAAACAAGCGCACAGTTTTACAACTTGCATCTGTAATGAACCTGTATTGTCGCGTTTTTTTTATGGGTTGTAATAATTAAACTTATTGCTTTAGTGCACAAAGAGAAGGGTTCCTATCCGAAGCCCATTGCGAAGAAGTAGATCAAGCCGATCCTTTTTATGCGCATTGTAAACTGCACTCGGATAAAACTCTTGTGAAAAAAAGGAAACGGAACTACTTGGCTTTACAGTTGCGAATGCAATATCGCAAAATTCAGTTCGAGAAAGAGGGCCATATGGATTTGCCCGAGCAAATACGTATACAAAGAAAGTTAGAGAAGCAAAAACGGCATTATTTGGAGTATAAAAGAAGAAAACTTGCTCCTTGGGGTAAACTGAACAATAATTATTTCTCAGTTTTATTGCAATCTTGATGGTATTTCAGTTCCGACTCAGAAAATGCCACGCCTTATCACAACCAGCGCTTCAGCGTGTCGTAAACTGTTGAGGAAAGCGGAACTTATGGGCATTGATACATCAGCCCTCGAAATGCACGATGCTCAGATAACAGCTTTGGCTGATATCAGGAAGAAGTGGCACATACCGCCCGCTTTTACTGTTGAGTTTATTGCGTATTACATAGATAGGAACGAGCGATTAAAGGAGATGAAATCTACTCTTGAGACCTTAATGGCGGATAATAAAGCACTATTAGCGCAGCAGCCGGAATTAAGGGCAGAATATGACAAGGTAAACAAACAAATTTTTTCTTAATTTTAGAAGGGTCAAGTGCGACAAATAATTTAGGAAAGCCGAAATTGAAGTTACCCTTATTCTCTCACTCTACCCTATTAGTCACTTATTAGTTAATAAACTTAATAAATAAAAAAATAAAATTGGGATTTTAAACTAAGTACCGAAACCACTTGTTAGAAAAATTCTTGTTTATGGCTGGCAGTGTTTCGGTTCCGTCTTTAATTTTCAGCAGTCAGGGGATTTTAATCCAAAATAGAGTAGTGTATTAAAGGATTAGTTGCAAGTTTATAATAAGAATACTTTTTGAGTAATTCGAGTTTGATATTCTTGATGACACAAGTAATTAAAGTTTTTCCATAAATTTAAATACCTATTTTGTGTTAAAATAAAATGTCGACAAAGCGTTAAAATGTTGTGACCTTTTTTTCTTAGGTATTAAAATTCCAACCCCGGGCCTCGTAAAGCCGGAGGGTTAAATGCTAAGTAATTGAAAGTGCCACGCAATTAAATGCATGGATGTAACGAAAAATACTCTACAAGTTCAGAGTTGTGCCTTCAGTAAAGAAGAGTGCGCTCTTCTTTACTGAAGCGCGAGATGTTTTTCGGGCTTTGAAGCGACACACATACTCCAAAAATTTATTCTAATCACATGGAATATTGAATTTTGCGCGCTATGTAAATGTGAATTAGAAAGTGAACGATTTTACGCAACTGCACTCTTAAAAAAAATAATTTCCAAAGTAAAGCCAGTAGAAACTTGAAAGATTGACATTCTGTTGAAGACGCCTTTTTAGATGAAATTTTAGCGTAAACATGCACCTAAATGTCTGATATTCAAAATACCTTTTCTAACTACCAGAATTTACCGGAATTTACTAATGAACGTTGTTATAACTGAATTGAATTACCAATTCTCTATCCAGTGATATAAAAACGAAGTCTGTGGCTCGAATGGATCTGGAGCAATTTCGAAAAAGGCGGTCTCCTGTTTCAGTCGATTTCGCAATTTAAAAAAAATCTTGAGTTTTTGGACAAAAAAACCATAAGACTTATGATCATCTTGTCCACTGGCTGATTGCTTCATCTTTTAGGCCCAGATCTCATGCCTTAATTTGTCAAAATGCGCCATTTAATGCTCTATCCAATGTTCCACCTCAATCTGATGCTGAGAAAGGCGCAGAATACATAACATTTCGGCCTTATCTTGTATATCATATTCAAATTTCGCCGTTTATTTCAAGCTTGAATTTTTCTTGTGAATTAACCAAGGGCTCAATCGGAACCAAATTCACACTATAACTAAGCTGACTGTTTGCCTAGCAGAGAATATTTTTCTTTATTAATTTGGCAATTTCCAAGTTTTCCACTTTATCTTGAATTTACAACTCATTAGCGCACAGAGCGGCAACAACCCAAAAACCAAACTCAACACAGTGTTACTCATGAATGATACGGCTACATTTTCAACTGAATATTTATCGTTTAAGCTGCTTAACAAAAGTGAAGAAATGAACGTCCAGAACACGGATCTTAAGGCAGCCATCCAGAAATATCATTCTGCCATTCTAAGTGCCTGCCCAACGAAAAGTATGCCCAATATTGACGATATTGGAAAACCACCAGTTCAGCGAACTGTACAACCACCCATGATGGTTCCCACAGCGGCGGCACTTAAAATGGGGGTTGGTTTCCCGCTGAAGAATATTCCAAATTGCCGCGGCGATCGGATTCTAAGTAGCCATGCAAAGCCAACCGGTGAAAAAAGATAGAGAAAGAATCTGCTGATCAATAATAACTAGATTTTGTTTCAGAACCGCTGCAGCTAAACGAATGCGGTATATGTAGGCAAAGGAGAGATCAGCATCTTCTAGCAAAGTGCGACACCTGCCATTTATATTATCACATGAATTGTTTGAATCCGCCACTATCTAGACTGCCTAAAAAATCAAAGTTGTATGGCTGGCAATGTTCGGAGTGCGATAAAAGTTCCGAATCGGAAGTTGAAGAAGTGAAGGTAAGTTGCGGTGACTTGGCAAATAACTTTTCTCTTAAATGTTCCTTCGAGAAATAAAGTGTTATTATTCAGAAAAGCATTTGAAAAAGTCAGGTATAAAATGTTGGAAAATAATCCTGTCGCTCTAATTGCTTCCTCAATTTGAACTGAAGCTAATGCGGAATTATTGAAGTGCTCCATCGCCTTACTATTTAGGGTTTAAATTGGACCAATTTATTGTTACATTGTTCGGCCATTTGAGGTATCATTTTTTCGACATTTGTGGATACCTGTTTTATTCCCATAGTTTCACAAAATGTCCTTTTAGACGCCAAGAAGAAGTCGCAGCGTCTACAGTCGGGATCGCACGGAATTAGAAATCTCCCCTGTAGCGCCAAAGCTTAAAATTAAAGCTGTGACCGCAGAAGAAGACGTTTCGTTTGAAAGTAGCCTACAAAAAGCGAAAAAGGAGCGACGACATTCTTCCGTCAGCGATAAGACGAAACAATATGAAGACATTCAAATAGGTAATATATTTAGCTGGTTTCAAAGATGAATTTTGGTCTAAAGTAATAATTCGATTGGTTCTCAATTCAACACTGAAACTCTTAAATTAAAAAGTAATCGAAATTCAACTATGTATATCATTTAATGAAGAAGTGTTCAGCTTGAAACTGAAATTCTATAGCGCATATATTTTGTTAGGTGGGGAAGAAAATGCTATGCCCGACAATAGCGAAGAAGCTCTAACCACTAACGATCTCTTAGTTGAGTTGACCAGCAATAACGACATGGACATTGTGGATACTGACCATCCAGAAAATTACGAGGGCCACAAATCTTCAAAAAAGCGTCGCAGAGAGAAACATAGAAACAGGTAATATGCTGTATTTTTATTTCATTTTAAGCCTACTTTAATCATGAATACGCAAAAATATTTTTAATAGTGGTTTTAATTAAAAACAATTTTACGGGAATGTTTTTCTACTACCTTTTTGGAAGTTCAAAAAACGTGATAGTTAAAATGCTAGTTTTTTGTTAAAATAATTATCTATTTCCTAAATTAAAAAAATATGCTTAATGTTAATAATAGAAACTGGTATTTTCAGATACAGTCCAGAATTGGGAACTTCTAGTAAAGAGCACAAAAGAAAGCGCAAGAAGAAGAGCTTGGAGATTGAAGAAACTCTGCCCCATCCGCGAATTACCATCAAGGTAAATTTTTCAGTTTAAACTGAAGTTTTAACTCAATGTTTGTTTTTAAATAGATTAAATCCATACCACTACCAGCTGGAGAAGTGGCGTCGGAATCAAACCCACAGTGCTTTTACGTTAGAAATGAAGTTGATGACAACCCGCCGCCGCCAATTCTCCTTAAGCTCAATGATCATCCTTCGACATGTCGAAGAATTTCCACTGATTTAAAGGCTTCAAAGCGAAATCGAAGTCCAAGGTAAATAAGAAGTAGCTATTCATATTTACTATCTTCGTACTTACCACAGCCATTATTTGACTGATGAATTCACTGTGAATATTTCTCGTCTGTTACAGAGCTTCTTTTTCTGATAATTCTGCCAAGGATCCGCTGGCTATAACTCTAAAAGACCCTCTGGAAATTGCCCCACTAACAGTCAGATCAAATAGAAGCAGTGTTGGTCGGAATTCTACACTTCCTACGCAAGTTAATCCTGTTGGAATATGCAATAGTAACTGCGATGTTTGTCAGCAAGAAGGTACTGCAGCTAACAGTGTAAAGTAAGTGGGAAAACCGATTATCATTGTATAGTAAAACTGCAGTTTTCAATAATAAAAATTGGATCATGTGTATAAATTACTGTAGTAATTTAAAATCATCATCGATCTTAGAAAAATTGAAAATGTATATTTCATTTTTCAGATGTGATGAGTGTCAGAAACTTTATCATTTTTCATGTTTGGAACCGCCCTTGAAATCTTCTCCAAAAAAACGAGGATATTCTTGGCATTGTGCTGATTGCGATCCAACTGTAAGTAGTTCTGATTTTACCATTTAAAACCTTTGTGTTTACGCATTCAGCTGTTTGTTCGAATTGTTAACAGTTCAGATTTTTATATTGCCAAACGTTAATCGCTGAATTAAGATGTGTACATAATAAGATGAAATTTTCCATTTTATAACAAACAAATAATGTTTTTCAATAAATTATCATTAGTTTAAAAGAGCATGCTGGCTGCTCTACCATTTTCCGGCTCTCAAAGATCCTGTAAACTGTTAGTTGGATTTGAAAATTCGTTTAGTAGCACAAGTTCCTACTACAATTTTCTGGAATGAGGGTAACCTCACATTCGATATTTGGACTATCAATTGGATAATCAAAAAGTTTATCTGGGAAACTATAAAAACGCTCTTCTTAAAATGTTACTAATTAATCAATGTTTTTTTTGCAGTCTTCTGAGTGAACAGTTTACAAACAACAACAAATGTATGTTTTCAGTGGTTTGATGTTTTCCTTTTGGGAGCAATAACTGTACATATATTTTGAAGCTGCTCTTTTTGGGACATTCTTTATGTAATTAGATTATTTATCTCAATAAAAAAGAAGGCAAAAGTATTAAGGACTTTATTATTGAACTTTCAGCTAAAAGTCTGAAAAATGAAGTACGGAAACATCAGTGCTAAAATATAAAATATCCTTGTGAGCTTCTGGAATGACGAGATCTTCCTCTGGAGTCATTGTAGTTTTGGCGACGTAAACCTTAGCGGGATGATCCTTGAAATCGTTCAGTAACTCTTGTAATTTGTTTATTTGATGTCTGTTGTACGTAGAGACTAAAATTGCCAAGAAAATAATGTCGCAGTTGCGTTTCAGCAATTTTTCCAGAGGCCACAGTTGCATGGAGTGTTCATAATCACATTTTACTACAATTCGTTGCAGTTTTGATGGTATTACTTTGTTTAATGCTGAGAACAAACGGTCTAAATCGATGTGAACGTTTTCAAACCTAAATGTTAATATTTTATAGTTTCGTGTTGCATTGTAGGGGTTACAAAATTTAACGTACCTAAATTCCTTCAGCTTGTGAGCGTAGTTCAGGTGTGAGTATAAAACGGAATTCAAATCTTCATTGGTATCTTCGCTTAGAATCTGCAGGCTTTGAAGCTCGGAGCATTTAAGGAATACCTATAAAAATGAATTAGTTGTGATTTTATTTAAGGAAAGACTTAGGAGTGTGTCTGTGCACTCAGCTTAAATAGATTTCGTCTCACTTACATCTTTGAGGAAGTTGCCATTTAAATACGATGGAACTTCCAACCGCAGTCGCTTCAAATGCCGCAGATTGCTAATAAGTTCATACGCGCCAATAATGGCAGAACTATAGCTGAAATGTACATAAAAAATTACGAATTCTGCCGTTTTTTCTGCAAGAATGATACTTACCATGGCACTTTGACACACTCTTCGTTCAAATCAACAGGTTCCATACTAGAAAGTACTTCAATATGAATAAAAACAAAATTGCAACTATTAAAAGACTTATACGTACTTGGTGCAAGAAACAATCTCCAAATCTGTCAAGTATCGACAGTTATTGATAATATGCCTAAATACGTTTTGTTTCTCAGTTTGTTCTACATTCCCTTCTAAAATATTAAACTTTCTAAATATGAGACTGTTAATAAGGCGGATTTCTATGTTACCCTGGAGTATACAGAACGTTAGGCAAAGTTTTTTTAAACTCTTAGAACACTTTGATAATAAAATGTCGATTACAGAATTAATAAACGTCGAATTACAAGTTCTCGAATGAAAGAATGAGAGCTCTCTAAATTCTACGTTCTTTATTGTCTTGATTTTGCGTATGTCCTAAAAAGAGAAAGATAATTGGCGATGTAATCAAATGAAATATTGTGTTAATAATGAGCGATCTTTTCAGGTTTTATTAAAACACCCGGCTTATTTAATGATAGTTTAACAACGATTTAATTGGCAATGGTTGACCAAATGGAAAAAATGAAGGCTTTAAACAGTTAAGCAAACTGGTATAGGTCCTGTTTTTGTTTAAAAACATTTATCGGCAGTTTTGCAACACTTTAAATGAAGTGAATGATATTTTGAAAAGAAATTTACAAAATTTGCTTACTTGGGCTGTCTCAAAGCTGCAAGGAGTTTCTATAAGAAAGGACCGAATTATACTCCAGGACTTCTCCGTTCTGCTTTCAAATACTTCTGATAAGGAACGTTTTCGTAGCGTTATTAGTTGAGGAATATCAAATTTCACTGAAATAAATGTATTTTATTAATGCAATCCGGATATAAAATTAATGGGATAGTAGTGAATTTTTGTCCGTTGTTTCAGTTGAGGCCTAAAAGATTAACCAATCAAACGAGATATTTTTCCCACTTTAAACAGATTTAGTTTGGATTTAACAGGAAATTTGTCATTTTTATAAATTAAAAATTGAAATTGGTTGGGTCGGGTCATTAATTCTACAGTAATAATTATAAAAAAAAAATAACTGCGTAATTACGTCTACAGTAATACAAAAGAGTAAATCTCGACAAAATTGTGATAAAAGTCCAGTCCCTAACAATTAAAGATTAATCACAAATCCTTTTTTTTATAATTGTTGATGCATAACAGTTTGCTAAATATTAATCAAATAATCGGCCATCGAAAGACGTTAACATTTTTTAACAGATTATTACAAAACATATGACTTACCATAGCAAATTGTGGAATTATTCCTTCGCCTCCGCTCATATATCTTTAGCAATCCAAAGGGCGTGTAATCCAGCAACGTTAAATTGGTCTTTGACTTGATTACCAGCTTCCTTAAAGATCGCAAGTTGCAAACAATATAGTCATATCTTAACATTTGCGTCTCCAGATCGTCCGCGTCATATATCTGAGAAAAAATGACATTGCGTTTGTTTTAATCGTGCCTATTGTGCCTAAAAACCTACTTACCCAAAGTTCATCCAGCTTTCGCAGCTCGTTAAAAAACATATAGTAAACTCGTCTAAAATCCGCTCTGTATTTGGAAACAAATTTTATACAGAGCGATTTTAAATGGGAGAAACATTCCCTGTAAACTTCACGGGTTGATGTGAACTGGTCCATTTCAACTGAGATCGCCAACTTTTTGAGCTGCAATAAGTTTTAGGTGTTTTAATTAGCATTTATTTAGTATCTAGTTTAAAAATACGCTTTACAAATAGTCAGATCCACTGATGGAAAAAGTAGCGCAGCACATGCATTTTCGAACAAATCGTTTCTTTCCGAAGTAGGTAGGTTGGTAAATATTGTACGCTACCAATTATTTCTGATCCCTTTCTATACATTCCAGTGCAAGTTTCTACTTGTTTTGTGTCATTTCCAACATCTCATCATTGTTGTTTTCAGCAAGTGTGGTACTGTTTTCGATTCAATTTTCATGCTTTTCCTAATTTGTGTGTAACTAAAGTGAATTCGCATTGAAGTGTCCCCAAGAAAAAAATTAAGTGAGTTTGATATGGCCAAAGTCGTCAACTTGTTGGGAGAAGCATATTCCCAACGTGAGGTCGCCCGAAGGTTGGTGTTCTTCACACCACCATTGGTCGATGTCTTCAGCGTGTTAGGGAAACAGATTGCCATGCTAGACGATCAGGGCAAGGCCGACCAAGATCAACAAACCAAGTGGTCGATGGGTTTATACGACTACAAGCTTTAAGAAATCGGTTTCTTTTTTAAATCAGATGAAAAATCGAATTCAAAATGCCCGAAATGTTGCAATTTCTTCCAAAACGGTAAAAAGAAAACTGAATGAATCCGTGTCGTACGAGATCCTACTCCTGAGAACTTGGCTGAACTGGAGAACTCTCTTCAAGAATGGTGCAACAACCCCAAGAATTAATTACAAACATTTTTATGGCATTCCAAGACGTTTGAGGGAAGTTATTCGAGCTACAGGCCGCAATACACGCCATTGAAACGGTTAAAGATGGAAACTTTGAATGAACCTGATATTCAAATTTAATTCTCACAAATTTGTACCAAAAATCGGATAAACCAGTGGATTCATGTTTTGTTTTAAATTATTTTCGAAAACATTCTCATATTAATTTAAAAAGCAATGATTTGAGTGTTGATATATTTCAGTATTATGCGTGAAGTTACGTATGTAATAAAATCTGGGATAATTACCTTCTTATATAGAACCACGTCATCGTTTCTCATGCCTAAAATCGTATCTAAAGCACGCAGTTCTTCTAGATGAGGTAACAATCTAACTATATCCCTTATTTCCTCCAATCCTATCCAATAGATTTTGTTTATATTTAGACTTCTTATGTGCTCGTATCCCACATCCTGGTAGAAGTTTTGGTACAACTCCTCTTTGTAAATATCGAAACATCCTCCGAGATCAAAATCTCTGAAAAGCAAACGTCTCCAGCGTTTAAATGTTGTGTTTTCCATTAGAAAAAATAACTTACATCACAACGTTTTTGTCCCTCAGCAAATACAACAGGGCGTCAGATGATTTGCAGAAATTGATCAGGTCAAAGGCTGGCAATTTTCTCACTACTTCTTCCCAGATTTCACACGGGAAAATGTCCATGTTTTGCCGTTAACCTAATCTAACTCAATCGAAGCTTGTTTAATGAAATGCTCAAGTGCGTTTACTAAATTCCCTGTCGCTATTTTCGGATAGATTATTTTTGAACAGCCTTTACATTTCAAGATCGCGTTCGCCTACGCTATTTTATAAGTATAGTACTAGGGAATATAGTATTTGTGACTGTATTTTACAGATTTCCATTTGTTAATGAAAATTATTTTGTCGGTTTGGAAATGAACAAACTAATCTTTTAATCTAAACATACAAAAAAATTTTTTTAAATGCTTTAAAATGTTCCACAGTTATTTAATGAAAGTATTACTTTTTTATTTTACTGTATATTTCCTTATTAACATGTATCTGATTTTCTATAAGTAATAGCATTTGGGAAGTGATTTGAAAAACATACGGAAAGGAAAAATCCAATGAGCCCATGTAAAAAGGTCACTGTATTTCTATAAATAAAAATAATTCAATTAGGTAATTCTAATGTTTTTAATAAAACGGCCAACAAATTGGTATATAATACAAAATATGCATATTCCCATTGAATCACTTAGTAAAACATGGCAGTGTCTTCATAATATGTTGTTCATACATACTCGTAAACATAAAACAATATTGCATCTCCAACGTGTATTTCTACTATCTGAAGCTGTAAAAATCAACAGTAGAAACTTCCGTGTCCCACTTAAACAGCTCTGAATTTGCCTCGTAAAGGGAATAATTGTCAAGAAAAAATCGAATGTCGTTCTTAGCATGAAATCGCTTTGCAGAATCCGGCTGACGAAACCGATCCAAAATGTCTTGAACTGTTTTAATATAACTTTTTGGCTTGAACGTTATGACTAAAGCCAGCAACACCAGTTGCGGATTAGTCTCCAAAAAGCTTTTAAGAGTATTTGTTGAAGTTGCCGCTGTATCCTCACAACTTACAAACACGCGACGCAATTTTTGGCTGGTTGAAAAGCTTCCAAATAGAACCGGTATATTAATTGCTTTGTTCTCGAAGCTAGAAAATAAACTCAGTGTTTTTAAAACAAATTAACGTTGTTTGTTATCGGTAGGAGTAAAATAGCCTCATTAAAGCAAAATATTTTAGAAATGTTTGAAATTTCAAGTGAAACTTGTTCTCCTACCAAATACGTAAATTGCAAATAAAATTCCTAATAGGTATATAAATCTACTTTTTTTCTCTGATGTTGTTTCCTTTTATTGTCTTTAACTCTGCCACAAAAACATAAATCTTACCAAAAGTCCTGTAATTGATTTGCATGTGGTAAGGCTTTATACACGCTTCTGTTCAGATTTTCATTAGTATTATGACTTGATATTCGAAGAAACTTCAGATTAGTACACGTTTTCGCGAGCTAAAACAGAATAATATAGTTAGAAGAAATGAATACCCAAATTCTAAAAATAAGAAGGAAGAAAGCCAGCATATGTTACTGTTACTTGATGATTGGCTGCAACTGTTAAAAGATCGAGTTTTCCAAACTTAAGCAAGATCAATCCGAAATTTTCAATTTCTGTCGAAGAGACTTGACTCTGCAGATACTGAAAGTTTATAAACATCGCCAACATATCTTATTCTTTCCCACTTTAATAAATGTCGATCCCAAATGGACGTCTTTATTCATCTGCGCTCTCTTCTTAAAAAGTCCGAATCTTCCAAAATAAAGCAGGTAACGATCCGAAATTTTCACCGTCTATCTAAGACACCTGACGACCCTACATGTGCTGAAACTTTCAGAAGAATCGCCCACAATTTTGACTTTTCTCAGTTTAGTAAATATCGGTCTTTAAAAGAAGTGTTTACTCATATGCGCTCTCTTCTTTAAGAGTTTGAGCCTTCCAATGTAAAGCAAGTATCAATGCGAAAATTTCACCTTCTGTCGAAGAGACCTGACCCTGCAGATGCTGCAAGTTTCATAAACATCTCCAATATTTCTCATATTCCCCACTTTAGTAAATATCGGTCTCAAAAGGACGTCTTTACTCATCTGCGCTCTCTTTAAAAATTCGAATCTTTCAAACTAAAGCCAGTAGCAACCCAAAACTTTTATCATCTTTCCAAGACACTCTGTATACAGGGCGATTCAAAATTGGAGTCATTCCTCTGGAGGTGTTGTCTGGGGGTGTTTTGAGAGTACAAGACAAATATTTAAAAAAAAATTATTTTGCAAAAAATTTAAAAAAATTATTGAATATGAATTTAAAACGAACGTGATTTTGCTAGTTGCACAGTATAAAAATATAACGTGAAAACGAACAAATTGTAAACTTTGACTATTAAAAGACTTAACTAATTTTCTTTCAGAAACCATTGTTGGCATTCAAAACTGCAATTTTTTCACTACCAGATGTTCAATTGAACACAGCCTAAATAACGAGTCAGATCAATTTGTTCAACTAGTTTCTATAGAAATTCAAATGTTCATAGAAAAGAGGGAGTACAAAGAGTAGAAGTTCATAGAAAAGAGTATGTTGTATACACAGTTAGAATTTAGTATTTTAACTTACATCTACTAAAAAAGCCCCATTTAAGTATGCTGGCACGTCTAACATTATTCTTTCCAAACATTTCCAATTGCATATTAGCGGATAGGCATCAATGATTGTTACGTTACACCTAAAATAAACAATTAAACATTATCGATTGTAATTTAACTATTAAGGAAAATATTACAGGAAATTTCCGTCTACCTCATTCCCATAAACAAACCTACAAAAATAATCTTATAATGAAACTAAAATAACTTATTTAGAATGTCTTACTTCGGACAATGCATCAATTCTAAAGTAGTGACTTTGGGACAATTTTTGATTATTGCCTCTATTGGATACTCCCGTTGTAATCTATCAATGGTGTCTCCCTTCGACACTGGGCGACCTGAAAAGTTTAATTAAGTATTCAAATGACTTGGCGCAAGCAATATGACCCACTTACGTTGTAAAACACAGGACTTAATGCTAAGTTTCCTCAAATCTTTGCTGTTATCGGAGCTTAAAAAATCCCAGCTAGCATTCACGTAGTCGTTTGTGCAGAAGCATTTATTGTGGATGAAATTCAGCTCTTGGAAATTGACGTTGTTTATTTTTTTAGTTAGATAAATTTCCTAAAAGGCCAAATATTTAGTAGACTTGGAAAAAGCTGAATTTTCTTTTAGAAACGATAAAATGATCAGAAAATTCGTAATATTTACTCTATGTGCCATGTGGTCGTAAGGCATCTCGGATCTGTAGCTCCGGAAGACGTTCCAGGCCATTTCCAATTTCGATTCCACTGGTTCAAAAATCGAAACATGCCTAAATGGAACCACTTTATCCACTGGGAGAGTTTCTAAAATAAAATAAGGATGTTGTACATCTCTTTGAAAACCTAATTAGTACTAGTACCATATCTCATAGCGATAGACTCAAATCGCCTAGTCTGAAAGTACTTGGCCAGCCCGAAGGGTTTATAATCCAATAGAGGTATGTATATTTTGGATTTGATAACCAACTTTTTGAGAAATTTCAATTGAGACACTATGGTATCGAATTTTAGTGGCTGAGAATGGCTATCGTCTGAGTCAAATATCTAAAATATTTTAACGCATTAAGCAACCCATTGTTGGAATCTCGAACACCATCTAAACCTTGGCCAGCAAGCATGGAAGTGTGATTTAAAATGTGAGTTTTTTAAATGGTACTTACCCATAACTCATTTAATGCGAAAAGCTCATTGAAAAGCATATGCATTCCCATAAAACCTTTGGGGTTTTTACGGGTTACATGCAAGCATAGTTTTCGCAGTAAGTACAGATTGTTTCTATATATTGTAGGATCCACATAATTAGTAAAGTGGTTTCCTTCCACAGATAATGCGAGGGTTTTCAACTGGAACCAAAAAAATATATTAAATAATGAATTAATTGAAGTATGAGTACGATTAAATTTTAATCCGTTCATTTGTTTAAAAAAAACGACAAAAAAACTCCGATTTTAGCGTATTTTTTAATTTTAAAATTAATTTAGTTTTGCTTCAAAAAATCTCACTATAAATTTGTTGAAGGTCTTTGTATACTTTATAAGTGGTATACATTTTAGCTTAAAATATTCATAATTTTTTGTTCATTTCTATTTGTTATGTAAAAAGGGCTCTTGTCAGATTCTAAATAAGTTTTTATAGAGACGTCGGATAGACTTCTGTGAGGCTGTATTTTACTCGTATGGATTCTACGGACAATAAAGGAAAATTTCATTACTGAATGGTAAATTATTTAGGCATAAAGTTGAAAATCAGGAATTTGTGTAAACTGCGCTCGCGGGTGTCCCGCGGCTGGAATTGTTTATCAACGACCTTTATGGAAAAAAAAACCGTCAACGACGTACGTGCAAAATTCCTGATTTTCAGCAGTTTCAGCAAAAAACGGTTTTTCGCGCTTTCTTTAATTATTTAAACAATGTTCCACAGCCGGAAATCGCGCTTCAACTATTATCCCAGTATTCTGATATCCTTCCGAACAACTTTCAAAAATCTTTTAGCTTCATCTGTTAAGTGCCCGAAACAGGCCTTTTAAAGTCTAATCTGACTGATTGATAAACTTTCTACCAGACTGGCTGAAATGAAAGGTAAATCTTCTAGACTAAAATATGACGGAATAGCGCCATCATCGGCATTCGCAGCTTGGATACTTTCTAGTTGAAAAGCTACAACCGAGATGGTGCGACAATATCTTTCTTACAAGGAAATTTTATAAAAAGGGTTCAAATACGAAAAAATCGAGTTTGGAATTCGATCCTTTCACAATGGTGAAATTGGAGATGATGAACGGGGACCATCAGATTTTTATCTGAAGTCTGCGCCCATTTGTTACGACTTTTGGCAGGCCATCCCTATCTGATCCAATTTAACTTGTGAATTGAAAAGGATTCATTCGTGTAAAGAAAATAATTCATTGTGTATATTA